AGATGCCCCGTCCCACCGCAGCTCCTTCTGCCGCCACTAGGGCTGTGGATGCTGTGCCCGCTCCGAGTCTGTCCGACGAGGCGGCGGGTTGATCTCTTCTTTAATTCGTGGAAAGCGTAATTTTCTTGTCGTACAGGAAAAATCGGGTTCCAGTTTTTATTTGATGCAACCTGGGATGTTTGATTTGCATTGCACGCCTCGGGTTGTGATAGCAGTGATAGTTTCGTTTAATAACAAGTCGTGGGATTTAACTTACAATTATTTTAATAGTTTCAATTGTTACGTTGAATGGTGTTTGCACCGGGCGGACTCGACTGCACCATCCCTCACTGCGGTATTCCGCACAAGCCAGAATTTGACGGTGATGGCACTTTAAAATGCAGTACTTTTTGTGTGTGTTTTTGTGACTTTTTTGAGCGCTTGTGCCCGCCGTGTGGTGCGGTGCGGTGTCGGTGGCCGTTCGGTCAGTTCGGCCAGGATGCAGCATGCAGCAGCGCCGGCGGAGGATGGGCAGAGAGAGAGAGAGAGGAACGAGGAGCTGAAATATTCTCGTTTTTGACAGCCCAATTACCACCGTCTCCCCTCGGCTCTCTCTCTCTCTTTCCTCTCCTTTCTTCTTCCCTCTCTACTCCTCTCCCCCCCCCTTCCTGTCTCTCCTCCTCCTCTTCTCTCTCCTCTCCCTCCGTTCATCTCCGCCTCCCTTTTGCTCCGCTCTCCGCTCGGGCGTGGCCCGGCGTGGTGGATGTTAGATTTACGTTCGTAATCGTCCGAGCAGTAACAACAGTGCTGCGGCGGTGGCCGTGGCGGCTGCGGCACCTTGTTAGCGGGGGGAGGGGGGAGTTCCTTGAGGAGCTGGACCCCCCCCCCCTCCTCTTCCCCTTCTCTCCCCCCCCCCCCTCTCCTCTGATGCAGGGTCATCCGGACTGCTGCTTTGTTGTAACACATTCCTCACCCTCTTCTTTTCTCATCGATTGAATCCGATTCGTTTTGCTGTGTGTCGGCCCGTGGCCTGCTCGTCCTTCATCTTGGCACGCCGTGTCATTGGGCACTTGACGGACGGGCGTGGCGTGGCGAAGGTGGACGCCTGCCTCCCTGGTCCAGCAAAAACTGAGGGATGAGAAGGAGGGAGGGGGGGGGACACCGGACATGGTCTCTGAGAGATACAGGAAGAGGAAGAGGTGGGGGGAGAGACCCTCAGCCTAGTCATAGACCTCTTCAATGTTCACTATGCCTTGCTTGCCTACCCGTTTGTAGATGGTCCCAGTCAAACATGCTATGCTATAACACCCAATGTACTGATTTTATTGCCCTTGATATTTTTACTCCTGTGGCCTGTGGCAGATTTAGAAAAATGCTGTTGCCTTCAAATTTACAAGGGGCTACACCACTTTGAAAAATTGCGTATTATTATTTTAATCAGTCCATGATTATCACTGATTATAGAAGATTATCTTGGGCTCTTTTGGTGATTATGGGCTAATAATCAAGCAACATGTATGCTTAAATTGTTGATTCCCAGTGAGATTAATTTTCGTAAGACTATGGAACAGTACCGGAATTAAATGTCTAGTCCATTCAATTGAACTTCAATGATTTTGGAAGTAAATTTTACTGTCTTTTCTTGAAATTTAGTAAGTTTTTATCATTATTTTGGATTTTTAGATGATTATATTTCTTCAATTATCAGTGATTATCTATAGAGGGGGTGTACAATGATTATGTACAATCATAATACAATGATTATGTACAATCATAATACAATGATTATGAAAGTGGAAGTCCCTTGCAAATTTATTTTGGAGTTCACTTTCACTCTCAGTTTCTGATGTGATGTTTCTATTTTTTTCAGGATACCCTAATCTGCTGTTTGCCACATCCAAAGACATCAGGGTGGCCAATGTCTCCTCCCGGTCATCAAGCTCGAAAGCCACCCCCATTGTCAAGGACTTGCAAGAGGGTGCAGCAGTTGACTATCACTATGCGAAGGGACTGGTGTGCTGGACGGACCATGGACTGGAGATGATACAATGCATCAACTATAATGGCACTACTAGTTCTATTGCAAACAAGGTATGATTTATACAATTAGTGTTTTCACATGCTATTTGTTATTACAGGCAAATAAATTAATTTTCATGATCTTAATATTAAAACAGGTTGGGATTGTGACCACTGGCCTTGTCTCGCCGGATGGACTAGCCATTGATTGGCTGACCCATAAAATCTACTGGACTGATGGAGAAACAAACAGAATTGAGGTGGCTACTCTCAATGGTCAGTATCGCAAAGTTCTGTACTGGGAAGATATTGACCAACCAAGAGCAATCGCACTGGTTCCCCAAGAGAGGTAAGTTTTTTTTTATCAGCATTATATATTTAAAAAATATTCTTAATAAAAGTTAAACATATGTATAACGAGTTCAATTTATGTGCTTTTTCAGCCTTATGTTTTGGACCGACTGGGGTGAAGTTCCTAAGATAGAAAGAGCAGGAATGAATGGTGATCATTCAACGCGAACTGTGATAGTTAAAGAAAACATATTTTGGCCCAATGGACTTACTGTTGATTTCTCTACTCGAACATTATACTGGCTTGATGGCCGCCTCAAATTCATTGAATCAATGGACTTTACTGGTCATAAAAGGAAAAGAATTCTTGACAAAGGTGTTTTGTACCCCTTTGCTTTATCTTTGTTTAAAAATGTACTGTACTGGACTGACTGGAAAACCTGGTAAGAATCATGGAATGGATTGAGGTTTTGAAAATTGTGTATTCTTGCCAATCTCTTCATGAAGAACTTTTTCTGTTCCAGGTCAATTCATATTTTTGATAAATCTTCTGGGAATGGTCCTAGAGAAATGATCCATGGTGAAAATGTTCCTATGGATATCAAAGTGTGGGATGCTGCCAGGCAACCTATTAGTCCTACCCCCTGTGATAATAATAATGCTGGATGTTCTCATCTGTGCCTCCTCTCACCTGCTCCCCCGGGTTACACTTGTGGCTGCCCTACTGGCGTCCGCTTGATGAACAATCATACCTGCTTTGATGGTAAGTACCTCAAGATAAATTGGTGCCTGAAAAGATATTGAGTTCCCTTATTGTAAAATATTTTAACCTTGTTTTCCTATTCCCTCTGTTTTTCAGATGTTCAAGAATTTTTACTCCTTGTTCAACGCACTGACATTGCTCAAATTTCCCTTGACACGCCAGATTATTCTAGTATTACTCTACCTCTTAAAGGATTAAAACATGCCATAGCTATTGACTTTGACCCTGTTGAAAAGTTTTTGTACTGGACTGATGATGAGGCAAGAGGCATTCGAAGAGCAAGGTTAGATGGATCGGGACAGCAAGATGTAGTTATTTCAGAAGTGGAGCAACCAGATGGCATAGCCATTGATGCTGTTGGAAGAAACATTTATTGGACTGATACTGGTACTGATCGTATTGAAGTTGCAAGACTAGATGGCTCTCATCGCACAGTTCTCATTACTGAACATCTAGTTGAACCACGAGCCATTGTTATTGCCCCAGAGAAAGGATTAATGTTTTGGTCAGACTGGAATGAAAAAGAGCCCAAAATTGAGAGAGCTGCTATGGATGGTTCTCAGCGTGTAGTTATAGTTTCTGAACAACTTGGTTGGCCTAATGGTCTTGCCATGGATCATGAGAGGTCCTTGCTTTATTGGTGTGACGCAAAGACAGATAAGATTGAGGTGGGTTAATTTTTACCTCTTAACAAATTTGTTATCAAGTATCTATTTTTCTATTTCTAGAATTATCCATTTGACTCCCCTGTTTTGATATCTGTATAGGTTGTGAATTTTGATGGCAGTGATCGTACCACAGTAGTCAGTGAGAAACTCCCTCATGCATTTGGTTTGAGTCTTCTTGGTGAATTCATCTACTGGACTGACTGGCAAAGACGGAGCATAGATCGTGTGAACCGCATCAACCGGCAAGGTGGAGGGAGCCGGCAAACTCTTGCTGACCAAATGCCAAACGTGATGGGTCTGAAAGCAGTTCGTCTTAGTGATCCTATTCCAACTAGCCCTTGTAGTAAATCCAATGGTGGCTGCAGCCAGCTTTGTCTCAACAGACCAAATCATGATTATGTGTGCACCTGTCAAATTGGGCAGGAGCTTGCATCTGATGGTCGTACCTGTGTTGTTCCTAATGCTTTCATATTATTTGCCCGTAAAGAAAACATTGGCCATATAAGTATTGAGAATGCCAATAGCAGCTCAGTTATACCAATTAGTGGGATAAAAGATGTTAGGTGAGCTATGCCTTATGATATTATGTAACTTGTGCATATTTTGAAATTGTATTTTCATTGTGAATGGATATTTCCTTTTTGATCTAATCTTTTTCTTCCTCCTCTTTGCAGTGCTCTTGACTACAACCTTCAAGACAATTTTATGTATTGGACTGATGTGAAACTGAAATCAATCTCTCGTGCCTTTTTAAATGGCTCAGAAGTTGAACACATAATTGAAATAGGACTTGACTCCCCTGAGGGTAAAGAAAATTTGCTATTGTGTCTTTTATCAGTGTGTTTTTTATTGAATGCCATTTATGAGTTTGTGCCCCTGTTTTGTAGGAATGGTGGTAGATTGGATCGCTAATAATATTTACTGGGCCGACACCGGCAGTAAGAGGATTGAAGTTGCTCGTTTGAATGGCAGTTCACGTAAAGTGCTCATATGGCAGGATATTGAGGAGCCTAGAAGTCTGGCATTGGACCCTCATGAAGGGTAATTACATGGCCAAATGCTGTTTATTGTTGTTGGGTTCTTGTTTAACAACTGTCTAATTATGCAATTTGAATCTTTTTTGTAGCTACATGTATTGGACTGAATGGGGTGACCCAGGTTCTTTGGAACGAGCTGCACTTGATGGATCTCTGCGCTCCACTCTTATTCACCGCTTGGGACGTGCTAGTGGTCTGACTATTGACCTCATAGGCCGTAGGATGTATTGGACTGAATTGCATGGAGCTCAGGCAGCTATTGAAAGTTCTGACTTGGATGGAAAAAACAGGAGGGTGCTCATTTCAAGGGATACTGGAAGGCCCTATGCCATTACTCAATACCAGGTACATAATTCAGTATAACCAGTATTATTCTAAAATATTTGCGTATATTTTCAAAATTATATTTGTTGCCTTGAGTCTCCTTTTCCTTATAATGTAAAACAATTAATTTTTATATCATTGTAGGATTACATCTACTGGACGGATTGGAACTCAGGTGTAATTGAAAGGGCAGACAAAGCAACAGGACTTAACCGAACCACTATCTACCAGCATCTAGACCATGTTACAGACATGGTAGTCTTCCACCGGTCTTACCAGACAGGCATAAATGCATGTTCTGCGAACAATGGAAACTGTACCCACCTTTGTCTTGCATTGCCTGCTGCCAGCCCTACATCATCTGTGGATCTGGATACAGTTCCTCATGTATCATCTACTGGCCATTATACTTATACTCATCGCTGTGGATGCCCAACACATTACACCTTAGCATTTGATGGAACAACATGCCATGGTAAGAAATCTCCCACAATTTTGTGGTTTCTTCATTATTTACTTTTTTTGTGAATCTGTCTGTATACTATTGTGTATCTGTCTCTTACAGCTCCAGAATCATTTTTACTCTTTGGTCAGAAAAATGCACTTACCCGTTTGATTCCCTCTGGGGAAGATTGCCCTGATGTTATTCTGCCTATTCAAGGAGTGAAGCAAGTAAAAGCTGTGGAATATGATCCCCTCACTCAATTTGTTTATTGGGTATGTGTATTTTTATGAGAATTTTTTAGAATTATGATTAAATGAATCAATGTAAATTTATTTACTTGCTTATTTGACATTAATTTTACTGTATTTTTTTATGTTTAGATTGATAATCGTCAAAAAGTAATCAAACGGTCACGTGACAATGGCTCTGGCTCAAGTGTTTTTGTTGGAGGGCGTGCTGATGGACCAACACAGTACCCAAATGACTTGGCTCTTGACCCGATTTCACACCTTTTATTTTGGACCTGCGCTGATACAAATGCAATCAATGTGACTCGGCTGGATAACTCATCATCTCAACCACTGGGTGCAGTGGTGCGGGGTGAAGGACTGAAACCTCGTCTTCTAGCCATACATTTTATCAGAGGGTAATTATTTCTCTCTTCTCTGCCGTGTTGCAGTCCCTTTTTGCAAGACCCATCTTATTCAGATTGTTTTCTTTTCTCAGCTTATTGTTTTGGTCTGATGTTGGTGGCCCAATGGTCAGAGTTATGATGGCTTCCTATGATGGCAAGAATCAAACTGTAGTTGCTGATAACATTGAGAACCTCACAGCTTTGACTGTTGACCAAGGAGAGAAAGGTGAAAGAGTTTACTGGGCTCAGCCTAGGGTGATTGAATCAGCAGCTCTTGATGGCAGTGACAGGTATGTGCTCCAAATTTTGAATACAAGATTCAGTAACTCCTTTTGGTGAACTGTCCTAATTTATCTTTTCTTCTGTCCCAGGAAAACATTAAAAACCGATGGTCTCATGCATGTGTCGCATATTGCTGTTTTTGGAGACTATCTATATTTTGTGGACAATGACCATCAAAGCCTGACAAGGGTTCATAAAATTACTGGAGAAAATGCCTTTCCTGTACCAGCACCAAAACTGCCATCACTCACTGATCTTGTTTCTGTATCCCTTCCATCACCTCAGGTAAATAAATTGTAACTTCAACTGTATCAATTTTGTATATCATTCTTTTAAGATACTGTAGTATCTTAGGTATCTGGCTGGAGGGAAAAAAATAAAACAATAAATACTGGCAATGTCTGGCCCAGTAGGATACCTGTATCAAATCTAATCTGTGAAATGAAAATTTTCTTTTTGAACAAAAGAATTGTGCTAATTCTGTTCTTTTGCTAATGTATTACAGCTCATTACTCATCACCCATGCGGGTCTGGTCAGGCGTATGGGACGTGCTCCCACCTTTGCATGCCTAGTGAGACAGGCCGTATGTGCGGTTGCCCCATTGGTATGTCTCTGGCAGAGGATGGCAAGACTTGTGTTGACTGTAGCGTCAACCATTTCACTTGTGTCTCGGGTAACAAGGACTGCATTCCTGCTTCGTGGCGGTGCGATGGGCAACCTGACTGCTCAGATAGCTCAGACGAAATCAACTGTCCTCAATGTGGACCTGAGTTTGTTGCTTGTCGAAGTGGTACAACTCGCTGCATAGGTAACAGTTATTTTTTGTCTGAAATTTGCTGAAGGTTTTATACCATAAAGTTGAAACTGCCTATTGATTAGTTTCTATTTTCTTGTCGGTATTTGTTATATTATTCAAAGATTGTTTTAATGACTCTGTGTTGCCTGTTGCAGAAAAAGAGCGTCGTTGTGATGGCATAAAGGACTGCATGGACGGCAGTGATGAGTTGACCTGCCAAGACCCTAGCAACGTAATTAATGTAATTGGCCCAAACACACAGCCTGGTGAAATTGCAAGTTTTGCTGCGGATACCAACAGCTACATCACACTCCTGTACTGCTTTGTGGGCCTGGCTATTGTGTTCACCCTCGCCTTCGGCATGATTGGGTACGTATTATAGTTTGTGCTACAACTCTGCAGCAACTTTCTTTATGTGTATGACACGTGGATAACTCATCCACTTTTTAAAAACCATGAAATTTTTCTTGTATCCCTGTTTCTTTGAGTGTCTTTTCTAAACCTCCTCCGGTGTGGTTCTCTCCAGGGCCAGGAAGTGCAAAAAGTCGGTGTCGCACGGCGACGACGGCCTGGATCCGGCGGACCCCGCCCACGACCCGCTGTCGCCGCCGGGGCCGGCGCTGTCGGCGCTGGGCTGCGGCACGGCGGGCACGGGCTCCCGCGGCGTGGCGAGCGGCCGCGCGGCCAACGGCGCGCGCTCCATCTCGCTGTCCACGGGCGGCCACGGCCTCGGCCACGGCACGCTCGGGCTCAAGGGCCAGCACCTGCAGGCCGTGCGCATGTCCGCCATGAACAGCGGCTCCACCAGCGGCTCGCCGTCCTACCACCGCAGCCACATCACGGGCGCCTCGAGCTCCTCCGCCTCTGGTGAGTAGCGGTGCAGTGTAGTGACATACTGGAAACTTAACTGACTGCCACTGATTGACCTTAAAGTGTTTCCCTGTGCTCGTCTGCGGTTTATTACTGCGCGAATAAAAGTAGTTCTGTAAATGTTTGACATAATTAACGTGTTTGTGTGTCTGTGCAGGGGGCGCCAATAACGGTGCGCTGCTGTCTTCCTCGTCGCTTCTGTGCTACCCCAGGGAGACGCTGAATCCGCCGCCTAGTCCCGCCACCACGTCGGATTCGACTCGCCGCGCCGAGTCGCGCCTCTACCGGCCCTACCGGCACTACCGCGCCATGAACCAGCCCCCGCCCCCGACGCCGTGCTCCACGGACGTCTGCGACGAGTCCGACTACCGCTACGACAGCGACCCCTTCCCCCCGCCCCCTACTCCCGCCCCCTCCTGTCCCCCCTCGCCCTCGTCGAGGTCCTCGACGTACTTCAACCCCCTGCCGCCGCCGCCCTCCCCCTCGCCCACGGGGAGGTGCGATTGCTGACAATACCAGCGCCCAACACCCAGCGGTCAGTCCGTGTGCTCGGATCACTCGTGCACCAAGGCGGTCCATCGACGCCGGTACTGACTTCAAGCCTAGTTTACGATGACCTGAACGCGGGCAGAGAGACCATGACGTGAGTGGAAACATCCGACTTGGAGATTCCACGCTCGTCTATGTGTCTACAACAAATGCCTCTGCCTGCGCTCATGTCGTCAGATCTAAGTCAGAGTTTCCCCGTCTCCTGTTACTTAAAGGGGATCCTCTGAGAGGCTTGTTTTGAAAAAAAAATCAGATGTTGGAAGTTCTAGAAATTGTTTCAAAAGAGACTTTCTGCAATTGGTTTTTGAATTCATCGAATCTTGCGGGTGTTGTGGCGTAATGAAATTTTTAAATTTTTGAGTCATGTAGATAAAATATGATTTATTTATGTATTTATGTACATTTTTTATAACTTGTATTTTGTTGTTTATGTTTGTGTATATTATGTATGAGATTCTTATTTCTGACTGCCTGTTGTTAGTGTAAAAGTTTTGTAATCTTTTTAACTACTTATCAATAATATTGTTAAATTTTGGAGTTGATGTACTGTACTGAGCATGCAGACTGATTGAAATAGACTGGCGATAAATAAGGAGATGTATTGGTGTGTTTGTCATTTGTGATATCATTTTCTCGTCACTGGTTTGCGGCAGAAGAGACAAATACTTCTTAACTTATCTTGCCTCCCATTGTTATCATGAAGTCTGCTTCTCTAAATGCAAGGCTTTGTCATGAAATATTGCTATTATTTCTGATATAAGATTGTTTCACTGTGATGAATTTCTCATTTTTGTGCTAAGTTTAAGGCATTAAGTGTTAACTGTTAACCATCCCTGTAATCCTGAACCTGAACTATTTCTTGAATTGAGAAATAGACACCTCTAAACCTTAACAGCACTCATTTTGTATTTTCATAAATGTACTTTTGTGTTTGTTTTGTTCCCCAATAGATCTGTTTATGGCATCAGGGTACTGTGTTTTAGAAATTTATTCTATTATTTTTTTTTTGCTTGCACTTTCTGTGTTTGCCTTTGGTGTTAAACCAATTTTATTAAAGTTTTGGTTTGATTACCTTCTTGAAACATGAAAGTTTGCGCTTAATACTGTGGTCTTGTGTAACTCACTGCCTCTCATAAGTTTTCTTGTAGTAGACTATTTTTGGCTTGGAACTCAATAGCCCAATGTAAAACATCTATTTTTTACAAACTAGTACTGTTGTTTTTGCTTTTAATCAATCATATCATTTGAAAATCTCTCTGAACTGTGCTGGTCACAGGTGTTATTTTAATTGAGATTTTCAACATGAATGTAGGAGCTGTAAATACCTGATCTAAGAGTTATTCCATTTGGGTAATCGTTCAGCCAGACTGGGATTTCCATCTGTAAATTTTGCATTGTTGAAGATGTCTCTGTAGCTTGTGCAGTGGTTTTGAGAGTATATTTTATTAAAAGTTCATGTATAAGTTTGTTTGGACTGGGATCAAATTTTAATATCTAGTTACAGAAATATTTTGAGTATTTTAAATTTGTCTTTCTGGTTGTTATCTATTTCAAAGTTGTTTGTTCATTTTGTTAGAACATTGTGGTTTTTGATCTCTTAGACTGGCAACAGAATTATCAACATATCCACTGTGGGCCACCCCTGATAACCCATTTAAAAAAAACACGGTCTGCTATCATGATTATGTAGATTGTACATATGTGAAGTAACATACTCTAACTGTAATAGACTAGTCGATGGGCTGCTATATTTTACTGTACAATTTTTATTATTAGTAAAGGAGAAGTTTATAGACTGAATTATCAGCAATACATTTGTGTTGAGTATGTTCTTTAACATGAGACTACCTTATAACATGATTGTATTTCCTAAGGTTATTTGTTTTAGCACCACTCCCGGTGTCTTACACAGTTGTTACTGTGGATCATGAAAGTGATAGTAGGTAAAATTGGAAAATTGTTAACATTTACATAGGATAATCTTAATGCTGTAAATTCTGTATTTTATGCATTTAAAAATTTTATTTCAATAATACAGGTCTATTGACTAAGACAACATTTTCTTATTTCACTTCTAACCTGGAAGGAGGTTTGATGAACAAAAGTGCAGAACACGCATCCTCTTGACTTGTAGCCTCCGTCGTTGTGTGCCCATCTCGAACATAGTTGCCATTTGAGCACCAACAATAGCCGCTGTCACACGCACAAGAGTTTTCCAAAGTCTAATCTTGTGCAGTGTCCAGCAGCTGCAATTGGGCTCAATATTCATGCAAGAGATGATGCGGCCGTGTACCTCTGTTGAAATTCTGTAAAGAGACATTTGCAAAGAGGAGGAGGATGGGAGCTGGTGCCTACTGATGAAGTGGTGCGGTGTGATGCACTGGCCATGCAGCAGGCTGGGGTTGGAGGCGGACAGGTGGGAATCGGCGGGACGGGACGGAGGGGAGGGCGACTGCAGCGCGAAGCCCCTCAAGGTAATCCCCGGACGGAAGCCGGACAAACAGATGTGATGTGAAAGGGAAAACGGAAGGGAGCCAGGCGGGCGGGGGCGGGCGGGCTGCAGAGTGGCGGCGGCGCCGGTGTCGATGTGACGAGATGTGTCGCACATCGCTTGGGAACGCACTTCAGATGGTGCGGACACATTTTCGTCGCAAATTTGATGCACGCAATGGGCTACCTTTAGTGCGCATTTTATGTGATCATTTAATGGCATTTCGGACTACTACGAGGCTGACGTTTTCCTGCTCCTAATATTTTTAATGAAAGGAGATGGCTTGCAAGTCCTACGGTCAATTTCAAAGCCGTCTTCACTTACTTTACTATGGACTTGTCTACTGTAAGTGAAGTTCGCCGTGCAGTATTTAGGGTCAGCAATTTCAAACGCTATCAATTCTCCGAAAAAAGTTGAACGTGGCTTCCGTGGATGAAAATGACACGGCTTAGTTCATAGAGAGGGAACAAGTTTCCGCGTTGTTCAAAAATGAGCAGCATTCTCGAACTGTTGTGGTGCCCCCCGCCTCCAGCGTAGCCGGGTCCACCCCGCGGTGGCCGTCAATGTATCCCCTAGCGGTGGGACACTGGGACCGGACACATCTCATCGATCGCCAAGAAGCCACACTTATTCATGATTCATTGAGGGGGGAAGGGGAGAGGTGGCGGTGAGGTTTGGGGGGGGTCAAAAGAGACTTTCTGCAATTGGTTTTTGAATTCATCGAATCTTGCGGGTGTTGTGGCGTAATGAAATTTTTAAATTTTTGAGTCATGTAGATA